ATTATTAGTGAAAATTAATATCTAATATTAAGTATAATGTATTTAACATTAATTAAACTTAAAAATTACCTTATTAATTTTAAGACTTATATTAATCATATAACACTAATAATAATTTAAGTAAGTGATTTATTAAATAATAAATAATAATCTATTGGTAAAATATTTTGCAAATAGGATTTTTTGCTTCATATTTTGATTATTATTTTAAAAATATGAGGTTTATAAATAATAAATAAAAAGTAGTAATTTAATAAAAATACAGCAAAATAATAGAAATTTTAAATAATTTATTAGAAATAATACATATAAAGAATAGCAAAAATAATTTTTTGATAATATTTATGATGAGATTTTTTTTATATAAAATAAGATGCAAGTATATATTATAATATTACAAATTTTAATACTTCTTTTAACAATTCTTTATATCTTAATGAAAATCTACTTAAATAGTAGAAATTACATAGAATATATTGCTTTTATATATATATAATAAACCTGAAAATATTTTGCAATTTCTGCTTTATCTGTTTCTTCTAAAAGATTATTTTCAGATGCTAGTAATTTAATTATAGAAAAACATAATAGATTGGACTTATGATATTCTTTTTTTGAAATATAATTCTAATTTAAAATTCTTTAATGTTTACCTAGATTTTGAAAATTATAAAATAGTATTGTACTAGTCTGTTAAAATGTTGTTTAACCAAATAATAAAATATATATAGGTCAGTTTTAGTTAACCAGATCAATAAATTCAGCTGGTTAAACAAATCTTATGACTTATAATATTATTATAACTATATGTATTATTTTAAAAATATTAATTATATATTATGTTTAATTATAAATCAATATTTAATTTATATTTAATTTTTTTACTATTTAAAATTATAATTAAAATTTATTTTTAAAAATAATATAAATTTTTATATTTTTTTATTATATTTACTATATAATCAAATACAAATAGTTGTAATAGTTGATATTTGATCAACCGTAATACAATACTTATTTCTTACTAATTTTTAAACTTAATACAATGAATAGGTAAACATTTCAGATTATCTGTTACAAGAAGCAAAAATTCAAGAGATCTAAAATGAATGTATTGACAAAAAAACTTATGAATAGGTTTTAGTAGAAACCGATTTGTTGAACAAATTTCGTTCGTCACTAGATTGAATAAATGCAGCTCTTCAGATAAATGAAATGGACCAATTTCAAGTTCATTATAAAGGTATTATTTACATACAATATTTTAAAGAAAAAAGCCAATTTAACTTTATATTTTAAATTTCATACAACACGCATATCAAACTACTGCGTAACGAAAAATTTCATGTTAATTCAAATAAACATGTACCAATTTTTGTTAATGAGAATTGACAACTTTGTATTAAAGAGGATTTAAAGTTAATTTTGCATCAATAATGGGAATATACTTATTTAACTTTTTTATTATTTACAATGCAAAGAATGAAAAGACTTCCAAACTTATCAGAGTTGAAATTCGCATTTTACAAAAAATGATTACATTGGAATGGTAAATTCAGCAAGGTTTCAATGGCTGGTACAGAATTCAGTCGAACATTTTAGAATTTATTACAGATAATACGGATTGTAAACTAAATTTGATTATTCGAGAAAAAAAAAAAAATAAAAGTAAGTATACTGTGTCTTCTAAATTGGAGGAGTTTACAACAATTGACCTCCTGAAAGTGAACATCAATATGGATTGGATATCCGAGCACTAATTTGGAACAATCGAAAGAAAAAACGATTAAAACCAAAAAAAGAAGTTAAATCAAGTTTATATGTTAGGTTCAATTTAACTAGATTTGGACCATGATGAATCAGATTCGCAATTGTTTATTTCACATGAGGTACATATGCATCATGCAGAATGCATTAAAATAACAATTCTAATTTATATATATTAATATATATTAATTTGAAAGAGATCAGCAATTTTCACAAATGGAAAATAATAAATGAAATGTTTAATACTTTGTACTTATATTTTGATTTTCCTTACTTTAAAAAACTTTAATATAAAACACTATCACATTTAAGGGGTTTTTTTTTTTTTAATAAAAATTTATTTAATAATATAAACAGAATAATTAAAAATATAATATGATAGTTACTCTTAAAATAGATCGTTTCACTAAATTTCTGTCAATTACGAATAGTTTCAAGTTTTTTTATACAAATACCATAAGGTCTAATATCATCACTCTTTGGACTTATCCAATATTCGCCATATGAGGTAATGGTCTTTTTTAAAGTCATCGGATTCACCCTATTTTGAAAAACCAGACAATAAATTTCATTATTATGAACAAATCTACTAGCAAACAAATAAGCAACGTTGATATCTGGTGTGGAATAAATCCCATAACCAAATCGAAACCGTCTTCCTTTTGTAATATCAAACCCGGTTTCGGCGATTGATTTGGCATTAAATCTATTGGTACCATGATAAGATACTGGCCATTCCGATGAATCGGATTCATAACGCCATGAATCGTTTTTGACTTGACCTAACCAACTATTATCGGGCCCATACTTATTTAATACTCTAATCGCTATTCGTTTCCATCCGCATGGTCTTCGATATACATGCGACCCTCTCATAAATAGTTTGTCATCCTTTATGTTTGTAAAATCATAATCAAACTTGGGATCAAGAAAATTGGAATCTATAAAATTAATTACTTTCCCATTATCCCCGATCAGATATATGTTTGCATTATTATCTAATATTTGATAATCTCGTAATGTTAAATTATCATTCTCTAAGCGAACTCCTAAATATGTTAATTGTTGTTGATTCCTTGGGATCCTGGTTTTGTTTTCAATACAAATTTTTATCTCTGAAATTGATGACATGATTGGTACGTCGGCAATTGTGAAAATTTGTCCGGATAATGTATTGACATTAATATTTATAACAGGTGATGGTTGAGGAAATTGATATTGAACCCCTTGAGAAATTTGTTGAATTTGAGGAATCTGAGAAATTTGCGACTGAATTTGTTGAATTTGATGGGGATTTGGTTGCAATTTAGGAATTTGTGATTGGATTTGTTGAGAATTTTGAGGAATTCGAGGAATTTGCATTCGAATTTGTTGTACTTGAGGAATTTGTGGATGAATTTGTTGAATTTGAGGATTTTGAGGAATTGGCATCTGAATTTGTTGAGCATTTTGTTGATCTTGCGTTTGTATTTGTTGAATTTGTTGAATTTGAGGAATTGGCATCTGAATTCGTTGAGGAGTTAGTTGATCTTGCGTTTGTATTTGTTGAATTTGTTGAATTTGAGGAATTGGCATCTGAGGATTTTGTTGATCTTGAGGAATTTGAGTTTGAATTTGTTGTACTTGAGTTTGAATTTGTTGAATTCGAGGAATTTTCATTCGAATTTGTTGTACTTGAGGAATTTGTGGCTGAATAGGAATTTGCGTCTGAATTTGTTGAATTTGAGGAATTTTCATTCGAATTTGTTGTACTTGAGGATTTTGTGATCGTTGAGGATTTTGTAGTGGAATTTGTTGCAAATTGTTCGTTCTTGTAACAGGAGGAACGTACGGGACATATCTTAACGTATAAGTACGAGGAGATCGCAAAGAAGAAAGTATATTAGATTGAGAAGCGGGAATGAATCCTTGATTAAAATTTCCGGTCTCAGGTGAGAAATTACACGAGAGAAGATCATCATCATTGGGTAAACTTCCAACCAACTGAGAATTATGAAGAGAGAATGGGTTTATAGTTTGATAATTCATATTTTCATTCAAGTTCTTATCGAGTTGAGTTATAACCGGTGTACCTAACAAAGATGTGAGAGCAGATGCTAAGATAATATCGTTTGTCGCATTGAACGAATTAGACATTTTTACAAGAATAAAATTATATTTGAATTTTTAATTTTTGAGTTTGAAGGTTTCGAATGTGTATATATATATTAAATTTTTACAATGAAGAATATAAAATTAGCTGGAGTCCGAAGCCCGCGCAGATCTTTTTTCATTTTAGGTAAAAATTTAAAGAGCACCCCAAAATAAGATTAACATATTGTACTTTATATACATATGAATGATCATTCAAACTTTACTATTTGAACAATAATAATCCAAATTATTCAAAGACAAAATTAATTTACAATCTCAAAACGATCCTGATGCCAGAATCATTTGTATTGAAATCCAAAATCTTCTTTGTAAAGATACTTCAAACTTTTTGATAACTAATATTTTATAAAAAGGTGCATTCATGAAATTAAAGAATACCACTTCTTGAAGGGAAATAAAATAATTTTCAAATCTGTAAAACGAGAAAATTCCTACATTTTGTGAAATAATATACCTTTTCAAACGTAATTCAATTTAAAAGCATTCAAGAAAAAAAAAATCCGTTATTAAGTTTTTGAATCATTCGAGTCTGTAATTATCATAAAACAATATACTGCGTTATGCAATTCCATAAATTTTAGATCTTTGATACATTCGAAAGAGCATGCCTGCAAACGTGTTTAAGCAAAAAACCTCTTTGTAATGCTAAATAATGCCGGACGGCTCATTCCAAAGTAATGTTCAAATATCGCAAATACCATTATTTGATAACTCATGATGTAGAAAATGTTGCAAAAAAGAAGTGGAGAAGACGGGAAGTTTGAAAGAAAACAAAGCAGCAATAATTTCAACAATTATACTGATATTCAATATTTATTTATTTTTTTTATTTTTAAAACTCAGATAAAATGTAATGATTATATCAGATGATTAAATAGATTGAAAAAAAAAAAAAATCGTCCAGATTTCTATTAAAAAGGAAAGGGATTTCTATAAACAGGGATGCTTAGCCGGAATTTTTTGTCCAGAAAAAAGGGGTAATATTTTCTTACTATAAGTGGATATACATTAACATATAATAAATAAAAAAATTTTAATTTTATATTGGAAAAAAAAAAAAAAAAAAAAAAAAAACTTGATCATGGAAAAGTCGAGCCAAGAAAAAGTTGACTTGCAAATGAATCGTCGGTTTCGTCAATCTCCTGTAACGGTAACTGCGCAATGAGATTCAAGGTCTCATCATTATTGATAGATACACCTCCAACATTTCGTTGTCGAATTCTTGTAAAAACGTTCCTTTGGCGACGTATTCGAAGAATAACCCGATTAAAATTAATAGGCGTATAAGTATTTAGATATAAAATATTACCTAAAGACATTTTTTTTTTTTATACGAAAATTGAAGGAAGAGTGTTGAAAAAGATGGGATAACATGCCATATTTATATCTAAAAATGCGTTAACAAAGAACTTATTTTTTAATTAACCAGATAACATGCATTATATAATACACACCTTTTTTATTTAAAAAAAAAATAAAAGAAAAAAAGACGTTAGACATTAACTAAGAGATGTTCAACCATCGGATACAGCGGTTAAAGCTATTTTTTTCGAGTTTTACAATCATCTCAAACACCCGATCCATGAATTTTTAATGTAAAATGATTCCGGATTAAAAAAAAAACGCCGATTCCACTACCTTCTCTTGTTGGACTTTTCTAAATACAGAGCAAAAATTAAGGATTTTGAAACACAGTCAATACTTATGTAATATCAAAATGTTTCTCAAAGAAATAATTATCCATCAATTTTCAAAAAAGAAGACAAAAACGCCTCGTTTCACAATTCACAAATCCTAAAATGTACTTTAATCATGTTCTTATAATTAAAAATTTTTTCTCTATAAAACATCAAAAGTGATCAATGCAACTATTTGTTTCAGAATTTTAGTCTTTACTTCAAAAGCAGGGGATCCTTTGACAAGACGCATCAATCATAATTATATAAAGTTATATTATATAATATAAAAAAAGGAAATAAAGCATATTTAATAAGTATATATTCATATAGTAAGTGACTTATGAACCGATTTCAAATTAACAAAAAATTGATTTCGCTAAAATAATCACATTTCTAACAGAGAAAATAAGGCTCCGATTATAATAAAATTTACATTTATTCAAATAAAATTCTTTTATGCATTCTATAAGAAATAATTGTGATAATTGATTTGATTAATAAATCTTTGTAGCACTGAATGATTAAGAAATAACACTTTTTTATTTCTTGGGGATGTTTGGAGAGGTTTTAACTTCATTGATTTTTAGTGTTTTGTTACCTAAAATATTTTTAAAAAAAAAAAAAATTTGTAAAACTTATGTGGCGCAATCTTAACTTTAATAGGCAACGATCGGCAGATAATTGAACTTTTCCTAAACTCGAAGTAATTTTAGATAATTCAGAAGAGCAAAAAGTTTTAAAGAGTTACTTTAAGATTATAACTAGAATTGCAACTCAAATAAAGTATAGTAGATTTTCAAATGCTATATTTATTTTTATAGTTTGGGCTAATATACAAAGTTAATACTTATATACTCAGATCTTTAAACTGTTTAATAATCAAGATTTTTATAGTTTATATTAGAAATTAAAGCTAACTTAAATATTTATAAATTGAAAATTTTTATCGATAAATCAATAAAACTATATATAATATTATATATTTATAAGAAATGAATTATTTTTACTTATAATAGTAGTTTTTATAAAATTTTAACCTTTATAATGATTTTAGTAATACTAAATATATATAAAAAATAAATCTATAATATTATGTTTATAAGTTTAAATTTTTGCATATTTTATATAAGTGATTATTATATATATAAGAATTAAATCTTCTATTATTAAAAGCTAAATAAAATTTAAAAATAAAGAATTTGTTATCAATTTTTGTTTATTATAATATTAAATATTTATTTTAAGAATTTATTTTTAAAAATTCAAAATTAAAAAATTTAGTAAAAGGTTAAAAATAGTAATATTTCTATAATATAGAGAAATATTTTTATTCTTTTTACAAAAGTAGACAAAGTTCTGTATACTTTTTCACTCAATATAAATTATTTAAAAAGATTAACTAATATTTTATTTTAAAGTTGATTAAAATCTACATTTTATACTAAATAAATGGTACTTAATTAGATTACTATTTGTTATAGTCATAGCTTAAATTCATTGCAGTATACTATTGATTAGTTTTTTAATAATATGTTTCAGAATTTCTTTCTATAACTTTTTAATATATCAGTTAAGATTAAAGTTCTACATAAGCTAGCTTAGCTTAGCTTGTCATTGGCTTGAGCTGTACTACTTTTTTTCTAGCTTAGCTTAGTTCAGCTTAAAAGATTAATTGATAAGCTAAGCTAAGCCAAGCTGGTCTATAAACCAGCTCATTCAGCTTGCATTAAATATTTTAAAATAAAATTCTATTAAGAAAAATATTTTCTATTAAAAGAAATGTTTTCAGAATGATTCCTTTTGAGAGAAATATTTTCAGAATGATTTTTTGCAAGAAAAATATTTCTGAAATGATTTCATTTGAGAGAAATATTTTTAGAGTAATTTTTTTGAAGGAATTCATTTAGCGAATATTTTTCTTGAAGGATTTTATTTCTAAAGCTTAATATCTCAACTATCTTTAGTTGACTTAAACTCTCCAGTAAATATTCTAAACCAATATCTATATTGATTGCTTATATGCAGATAGATTCTAATTTAGTTAGATTTTGGTAAGATTTTAGAGATTTGTGAAACTTATTGTATTTATTATTTTGTAAAGCAACTTCTATAATTTCTATTCTTAAATGAACTAAATTATTAAACTTACTAAATATTACTATGTTCATGGTTTAAATTATTACTATAAATAAATAAAACTTCTAATTTTTCCAGATTTAAAAGATTATTTATAAAGTTTACTGAGGTTAAATTACTATTGACATAGCTAAGATTTTCTAAATTAACTAATCCAATAACTTCTAGTTTAGTTAAAGAAGTTTTTAAAAAACTTGTCTCAATATTTGCTATCTTCAAATTCTTAAACTTTCTTAAGTCTAACTCTCTGCTTTCTAATTCACTCTCTTTCGCTCTCTCTACATCAATTTTATATTTATAAATACTAATCTTTCTTACCTTTTCTTTATCTTTTTTAGTCAAATATTTTTAGTCTAAATATTTTTATAAAGTTATTATAATATTTTTACTATCTGTTTATAAACTTTATTTTATATTTTTTAAAGTAGTAATAAGAATAAATTACTAATTAATGAAAAGAATAATTTTATTACCTTGCTTTTTTCTAAAGCTTTCTGGTGAGTTAACAAAGGTGTTTCAGAAAGTAAAGTAGAGATAAGATAAATACTATGATGATAACAATATTTTTTAATTTCCTTAACTTTCAAATAAATGTGTTGAAAAGGTTTAAAAATTTTTTTTATTTGGTAAATATAACTATTTTAGTTGTTATATTTAATATTAGTCTTAATCTTCCTATTTTTTTTTCGTTAAATCAGCACTAGGAAGCATAATTAACTTCTTCCAACTTTTTGCAGATTTGTTATTTAAAAGAAGAATAAGAAAAAGTAATTGTATTATAATCTCACATATTAGATTGCAAATAGTAGTTAATATATTAGTAACTAAATCAAATAATATCATATAGTGGTAACAAAAGAAATACAAGTATGATTGATTATCTTTTAACAGCTATAACTCATTAATCACAAATGTTAGAAATATGATTTTGTATTAGTTTTAAAGCTCAAATCTTGAATTATATCCTGATGAATTTTTTTTACTATTAATATGTGGCAGCTAGAGAGTTAGTAGAAGGCATATCCTAATTAGAATAAGTATTATCTTGTGTTAAGTAACCTCTTTAGGTTCTTGATCCCATTAAAAAATACAGTAATCTGCCTAGAAGTACATCTCTGTATAGTTGCTACCTAATATAAACTACCTTGCAACAGTTTATTCCTGTATCATAAGGCTCACTAAATTTTATTAGGTACCATCACCTTTGGATAGAAGGCTCACTTCAACCATAAAACTTATCAGACTCTATTTTTACTAATCTAATTTATAGAGTTTTATCCTATTGATGACTACTAAAACATGAGATCAAGTTCTTTACATAGATAGTAGTTTTGTACTCATAGCATCAAATTCACCTAAGAATCAAACCTAGCCTTTAACCTTAATGACAATTTAATTTAAAAGGTACTGCAACATACAATGCAATTTATTATTACCTTAAGCATTACACCTATTGCGATGAATTCAAACTTACTAATTACTGGTTAATCACTTTTTTACTTGTGTAAAAGTTTCTAAATTTGAAGACGTAAGACAGTATCTATTATAAACCTGTTAGCGAAGACTAAGTTTCTATCAATCTCTGGTTTCATTTGCATCTACATGTTCTTCAAACTCAGTATTTAGGTATGATTAACATTAATTAATAGATTTGATTAACCAGTATCTAACATTTATTAGTCTAAACATTCATATATTTAGTTACATATGAAATTCTTATGAAATTATCTAGTTTTATGCTTTGGCTGAGGTCTGAACCTGTAACTATCACAGTATAACCTATAATAGAGACTTGCACCTTATGGATTAAGCTAGGATCACCAATTATAATTATATTCTGGTGAAATTTAGTATCAAGTTAATAATACCAATTTTGTATAAATTAACAATCTACATTAAAATTTCTTACATAGTAAAGATTGAGCATAGAAACATTTTAAGCACACTAGTTATCACAAAATTGACATTAGATTCTAATTCTTTTCAGTGCAATGATACTAAATTTTATTGAAATTAGACTAGCCAATCAGGAATTATTGTGTAATAAAAATTGGCAAATTATTATATAAAAAGAGTTCAGCTACTTTTTTATAATAATTTGCCAATCTTTATTACACGATAATTCTTGATCAGATGGTCTGATTTCAACAAAATTTAGCTTATTGAAATCACTACACTGAGAAGAATCGGAATCCAATATTAGTTTTATGGTAGCTAATATGCTTAAAAAATTTTTCTATGCAAGAAATTTTGATAGATCATTAATTTACACAAAATTAGTATTATTAACTTGATATTAAATTTTTTCAGGATATAATTCAAGATTTGAGTTTTAAAACAAGTATAAGATTATATTTCTAACATTAGTAGTTGACGAGTTATAGCCATTTAAGGTAACTAATCACACTTGCATTTCTTTTATTACTCACTGTATATTATTATTTTTTTACTTTTTTATTTTTAATTACTTGATAAAATATAACTATTACTACTCCAAAAATTATCCCTATTATACCAGTTTTAAAGGTTATTTTTGCTAGCAAAGAAAGTTTATTTTCACTAGT